CTTTTCTACAGATATTTTCATGGCAATAATGAGATAATATATATATATATATATATATATATATATATATTCAAATTCCAATGTGAAGCAGCGTACATAGGACGAACCAATCTGAGGTTGGAAACGTGTATTATCCGCCTTTTTGCGTTCATTTACTCGAAGACAAGTTTTAAAGGACTACTCAAGCAGTCCACGGTTTGTCGACTGGGCAGCATTTGCTGGACAGTCCTGACTGTGCCGCCGAAGATGAAGACACATGGTCTTCTATTCTGCACAGTGCTACACACTTTAACACTTCCGAGTTCTTGAGGCTGTCTATATAAAATTTCACCAGCCGAGCCTATGTCGGAAAAAGAAACATTTTATGCGCTCCTCACGATTGGCATAGGGACTGTGAGCTTCTTTTCCAATGTTATACTCTTATGGAACTTGTTAATCGTCTTATTAATTATTTATAAATGCTATTTATTTTATTTTAATCGCGTTCCTCTTTCGTTATTATTGCTGTTTTGAGAATGCTTTGTATTTCGCCAACGATTGCCTTTGAAACATTGTTGCTTGAAAGGATCCTAAGGTAGAAAATGACGTAAATTTGGTTTATATATATATATATATATATATATATATATATATATATATATATATATATATATATATATATTTATTTTTAAAAATATGATTTCTTCGCTAATATAATAATCAATATATTAAAATTACATTGAATTTTCGCTTGAGGATGAAACAGGGCTTGATACTTTAATTCAATTTAATATGAATAATTATATTGAGGTTTTTGGTTCTAGTTTTTGAAACATGAGAACTCTTATGTAGCGAAGGAATCATATTTTTTAAAAAATAATTAGAATTTAAGCTCTACTTCTAATACTAATGAACCCCAGATTGTTTACCTAATGTGTTCTTTCCTATTTTTCTACATATTTACACACACACAAACACACACACACACACACACACACACACACATATATATATATATATATATTAATCTTTTAACTCCAAGCAAGGCTGGTGTGCGACTAGCACGCTAGGGGTTACAGAAAGTGTGAGCAAGAGTAAAGAGGCGGGATTGAGGAAAGGATGAAGAGAAGGACGGGGAAAAGATCAAGTCATGTGGATATGTCGATTGACATTGCATTTGAATAATTGTAAATTATAGCTCTAAGGGAAGCAAGTAAGAGGAAGGGGGTTCCACAGACGAGAAGTGAAAGGGTGCGATTGAGATGCCAACCTAGTCGCACGTTTAAATTGATGCCGTTTGTAAACTAGCTATAATAGGTCGTCCGAGCAGTTACCGTGAAAGTATTTGTAGAAAAGACAGAGGCACGCCATAACACGTCTGTGAGAGAGCTACTGTAAACGGGTAGCCAGATCAGAGTCGACCATATTGTATATCCGTCTCTGGATGTTGTCGAGGGCCCTAAGACTAGCTGCGGGGGCTCCAGACCATATATGGCAGCAATATTCCATGCAAGGGCGAATAGTTGATTTATAGATTTGAAGGATGGACTCGGGCGAGAAAACATTCTGGCGCGACACAGAGGACCAACTTTATATATATATAATTTTATAACCATTTAAATAGGTCAAGGTTAGGTCACTTCTACCCCAATATAAAGCTTATTTAAGAGAGATATAAATTTAACCCTCCTATACTCTGTATTGTCCCTTTAACCGCCACCTTCACCTCCTGTTTAATTACAAAATTACACTACCCATCAATTTCTAATCCCATTTTTTCCTCTCATTTCATTGCTGGAAGTGTTACCTGATGATCCGGAATCCTTTAAAAGTTTTGGTGAAATAAATTATTGTAATGATACCTTAAAGTGGTCTGTTTTTCATTATATATATATATATATATATATATATATATATATATATATATGCACACATTTGTTTATATGAATGGACGTATAAGCGAGTGTATTTTATTACATCGTTAACATTTTTTAAGAAAAATATACACGACGTTTCGGACAAGTAGACACATCAAATTTCGTTCTTATTTTTATACAGCACGATGGGCCCTGCAGTGTGCAATGGATAAATTGTCGTCTAAATTGCACAAAAATAAATCTAATACTGGCATCGCCTTTTAACAGATATATTTACCAAAAGTACACAAAAAATCTCTTGAAATACTAAATTTATTCAATAAAATCGCCTTTTGGTTTCAACCCCGGCCTCCAGACTACTTTGGAATCTCCTGCAACGCTTCTGGGCGGTCTTCTTGTTTGTGCTTGCGAATGCCAGCATAAACAAGAGAGACGTCCAAAATACGGCGCTGCCACGACCACAAAGCAGAACCGTAAAACCGAGAGAAGAGCGAACAGTGACGGGGTGTCATGGTAAAAAAGTTCTGTGATATAACTCCCTTTATTCTGGTCTGCCACTATCTACATCGCGGCTGAGAGCCCTTAAAACCGCAGCGGGGTTAGCCGTAAGGCCGAGCATCGTAATTGCAATGGAGAAGTTCCATCTCTTCAGTTAATCTTTGGTGCAACAATTACGTTTTATTTTTTTATTTTTTTGTTTTTTGGCGTCTCTCGCTCAGCTACGCCCCACACATAATAATCAGTCTGCGGAGTTAGGTGGCCAGATGTAAGTAAGTGAAATTGTCAGACAGCCATGACTGGTTTCTCCGATTTGCGTGGCAAGGTGAAGAGTCCTTTTGCCAGACATAGGTTCTTCCAGCACTCATCTTCTTGACCCAAGGCAGCACTTGATGTAGGCCTCCTTGTTGTGTCTGAGGTTCTCACCAACAAATTCGGGAGTTCTTTTCTTATCAGATCGAGTTTTACCGAGCTGCCGTTCCTTCGTGATCACTATTAGACTCATCCAACTCTTTCCGAATACACTGCACTGTTCTCAGATTTACATCCAAACACTGTAAAATGTTCGTATTGAAATTTCCGCTATGAATGCTAAGAAAGTACCGCATACCATTCTCAGATTTTTGGCGCAGTGAATTGCCTCATAATTCTCTTCGTTCAGAGACGGTGCTCAATTCACCTTGTTGTGATCTGCACAAAATAAAATCAACCAACGCGCATGCGCAAAATTCAAAATGGCAATCAGTTAGACATCATAACCTGTATATAAAGGCAAAAGGAATTCTTTTTTTGCTAAAGCGTTTAGATCCCTGAGGAAATTTATGAAGGTTAATGTAGAGAAAAGTTTTCACTTTGTCGTTATATATATTGTCTTTACACATACTTTTTTTGCTTATGTCTGAATTTGTAAACACACGCAAAAAAAACAAACGAATATATATATATATATATATATATATATATATATATATATATATATATATATATGAATGTATGTATGTATAATTATATATATATATGTATATATATATACATTATGAAATGGATAAAGTTCGACAATTATTTGAAGACATTTTTTTATAAAAAGAACGTATAAACATAAAAATGTCTTAAAATGTATATATATATATATCTGTATATGAACATACACACACACACATATATTTATATATATATATATATATACATATATATATATATATATATATATATATTATATATATATATATATATATATATATATATATATAAATATATATATATATACATATATATATATATATATATATATATTGATACTGATATTATCAATATATATATATATATATATACATATATATATATATATATATATATATATATATATATATATATATATATATATATAAAACAGACACATATATATATATATATATATATATATATATATATATATATATATATATATATATATATATATACATATATATATATATATATATATAAATGAAGGGCGGGAGGCTGAGAATGCGACTTTGAAAGTGACCTTTAACGATGTACAGTTGGTTCAACAAAATTTCCGGGAATTTGAACAGATTGATTCCTTGTTTTCCTGCGTTATTTTACCAAGTTTTATCCCAGTTCTCACATGGAATCTTCATAATCTTTGGAAATCATCCGAGCAGGAAATGAAGGGCCGTATTTTTATCAAATCTCTCGCGCCTTAATTTCCTCAAAATAGTCGGTAGTATCTCACACACACGCACACTCACGATCTAAACAAGCTACACGCACACAACACACACACACACAGAAAAATTTATGCATCGGCAAAAAACACACACGCACAAGCAAAAGCCTCCGAGTATGTGTACACACATATACAGCCATAATCACACAAATCATCTCATATAAGACCATACAAACAGACACATGCGCACACAGAAACAGACACATGCACAAATGCACAGATGGCGCGATATTGAAAATTTCGCGGATGACACATTGCCTAAAGCCTGAATTAATCGCCAAGCATCAGAAATTTTGGGGATTGGTTTCTTGGTCGGAAAAATTTTCATATATATATATATATATATATATATATATATATATATATATATATATATATATATATATATATATATATTATTCAGCAATAATTTTCATATATATATATATATATATATATATATATTGAAAATTATTGCTGAATAATACATATATATATATATATTTTTTTCTATAATAGTAATAATAATAAAATATAATAATAATAATATATATATATATATATATATATATATATATATATATTATTATTATTATTATTATTAAAATTATTATTAGGTAAGACCTTGAAAAGATTTGTAGAAAAAAAAAGCAGCCCTATGGATATATTATCCTTTCTCCCTTTTTCGATGCCAATATTCATAAGCAAATCAAAGATATTCTTCCGAGCGTGGACATAAATTAAAAGGATTTCTGAATGTTGTATAGCGTATTACAAGGATTATTTCGGATTGATGCGTTGAATTTACAAACCGACGCCTGATTGCTGCAAAGAAAGAAACAAAGAAATAAAAAAACATTTTCTCGATATGCACAAATGAGAAAGGAAGATGCTGTGCATAAAATTGTGGTTCTTTCACCAGCATGTGTGGCACAGGGTCAAAAATGAAGTCGATTTCCAGCGAAGAACTCGTAAAATTCTACACGTTTCCTTGGGCGTCTGTTATAATTCAAGCCAAAACTAGGCCCTTCAACCTTAACGAGTATGATAAAAAAGATTGAAAACAATAATTAGGGGACACTGTATGTTACGTTTAGATATAATTTTATATCATTCATTTCAGAACGACACAATTAGCTATATATATATATATATATATATATATATATATATATAAAAAAAAAGAAGAGACTGATAGATAGACAGATGGAGAGAGAGAGAAAGATAGAAAGAGAGAGTGAGACCTAGATATGAATAGAATTATGGATAGATATATGAACATAGATAGATTTGAATAGAATGAGATAGATAGATAGATAGATAGATAGATAGACAGACAGACAGACAAAAGATTGTGATAGATATGAAGAGAATTTGATAGATAGATAGATAGATAGATAGATAGATAGATAGATAGATAGATAGATTTGAATATAGAGAATGATAGATAGATAGCAAAAGATTGTGATAGATAGATAGATAGATAGATAGATAGATAGATAGATAGATTTGAATATAGAGAATGATACATAATGAGAATGATATATAGTGAAGATAGTGATATAGATAGATAGATAGATTTGAATATAGAGAATGATAGATAGATAGCAAAAGATTGTGATAGATAGATAGATAGATAGATAGATAGATTTGAATATAGAGAATGATACATAATGAGAATGATATATAGTGAAGATAGTGATATAGATAGATAGATAGATAGATTTGAATATAGAGAATGATAGTGAGAATCATATATAGTGAAGATCATGTAATAGCTAGCTAGATAGATAGATAGCAAAAGATTGTGATAGATAGATAGATAGATAGATATATAGATAGATAGATAGATAGATAGATAGATTGTAATAGATATGAGCAATAAGTATAGTTTTAAAACGTCAGAACCTCTGAGATAAGGCCCTTCATTCCTCATTTCATTTATTGAATAAGAGTTTTGCAAGGATCGTGTAACAAATTACCGTTACAAGTTCCATGAAAAAATTATTAAACGATTACTTTTAAAGTGAAGCAGTTTGGTCGAAAGCTAATACAGATTACGCTATTTCGATAAGTTTTATATTCAAGGTATTTCTTCTAGACTGGTTGCCAACCACGGCCAGTAAGCTTAACTGTAGAAACTATAATTGGATAGAAATAGACAGATTCATATTTTTCCCAAGTGAACGTAACGAACGCAATTGGAATTCGACCTCTTCTCTATTCATTACACCATACGCATAAATAAAACTAAAAATCACATACAGCACATAAGCTGATGCGCATAGTGTGAAACTAGAAATCCATACAGCAATTTATTAGTTTCAGACCTCAAGTGATCTTCAAATCATAGTCCATTACTCTATCCTTGTTCCAGTCCTACATCCACGTCCTGGGTAAGATGATGAGCTACGTCTGCGTCCTGGGTAAGACGATAAACTACTTCCGTATCCTGGGTAAGACGATAAACTACATCCGTGTTCTGGGTAAGACGATAAACTACGTCCAAAAGCAAGGCCTCCTATCAGGAGGTTTTGAGTAGAGTGGAACCACCTTTTAATTGCTGGTGTTCCCATGTCCACCGTGACCCAGGGTGGTATCACCTGTTAGGGTCCCAGCTATGGGCAAATAGTTAACGCCGAATGTTTCTGGGATTTGTCTGAATTTGACTGCTCATAGCTTATTACGTTTTTATGTTAGTAAATGGATAGCGACTTGGATTGATTAATCCGAGGGCCGAGTTCGAATTCCAGTCGAATCCATTCACTTCCGAGCCAATAACCTTGGGAAAGTTATTAATCCTCCTCTTTTCCCCACCAGCTATGGGTAAATAGCAGGACAGACCAGATTCTATAGTCTTGGATGGCAACTGGTCTACCACAGAAAGAAATGGCGACCTACTGTTGGAAAAAAAATCTGCCTCGTCAGTCATGTATCGAAAGATATACGATCGCCTAAGCGTGCATTACGGATGGCATATAACTGACTGTAATTCACTTACGTGCTAATACCCTTGGGAAAGGTATGAATATTTTTCTCTTCCCCAGCTATGTGTAAGTGGCAGGACAAACCGGGTTCTATAGCCTTGGATGGTAACTGGTCTACCTCAGAAAGAAATGGCAACCTACTGCGGGGTAAAAATCTGCCTCCTCAGTCACGCATGACACATAACTGACTGATTTACCACTTGCTGACTTGTCAACTATTATTGGCGTTTATGGTATTCTCTTAATATTTGCCTGGATTTATAGCATTTTTTCTTGCCAGGGTGGGCTAAGATTTACAGTTTTTTTTTTATGTGTGCATTTTTCTTGTCTGCTGACCTAAAATCGTATTTACGAAAAAAAATGAAAACTGTACAACTCTCTCAAAGGAGATATGGGAATTTAAAAAAACACAAAACAAAACGCACCAAACATATAACAGAAAATAAGAAATAAACGCCAACTTATGACACCATAATGCAACCTAATGGGCCAACGGAAATCTCCCCTTCCATTAAGCATTTGAAGATGGCGTGTTTTGGCCATGTCATGTGGCATAGCAGCCTCTGCAAGACCATCATAATGTTGAAGGCGAACGCAAGTCGTGACGACAGGCCAGAAAAACGTCAAACAATGACTATGCCCGAACCTTTGAGAGCCACCGGCAACAGATCATTCCAGAAAGGATTTATGTTTTTTTATTCCCTTAGGTCCCCTCTAACGATTGAAGCAATGTAGAGATTGATTCTGCTGCTGCTGCTGCTGATGATGATGATGTTGATATATATATATATATATATATATATATAGTTAAGTTATGAAGAACTTTGTAATCCGTGTGGGTAATCCCAAAGAGGATGAAATCCTGAGAGCTCAATGTAAATCCAGAGCTAATATTTAAAAGAAAAACAGACCACTTTAAGGTACAATTATAATAATTTATTTATATTATATATTTATATATATTTATATATATTTAATTTATTTATATTATATACTTAATATAAATTATTACCATAATAATAATTTATTTATATTATATATTTATTATTATTTATAAATTATTACCATTATAATAATTTATTTCACCAGAGTCCTTAGGACTCTGATGAAATAAATTATTATAATGGTACCTTTTAAAGTGGTCTGTTTTCTTTTTATATATATATATATATATATATATATATATATATATATATATATATATGGAGAGAGAGACTTTCGATGTGGATATATAGATCGATTCTAGGAGGTGGAGGATAGGCGTAATCAATTCAATTGTAATAAAATTGATTCGGCTAGATCGATGAATTGCGAACTGACCGTGAAATAATAGAAACGCTACCTACCGGCTGAAAGCATTTGAACAAAGGAAACGAAACCGTGAAAGTTTTGAAGATGAAACGAGTTTATTGCGCATTTTATTCTTCTTAATGTCGTAAATGTATTTTTTTTCTATTTATGAAACATCATCCTCTTCAATGCTGTTTCTTTTTTTTATTTGTACTCAAATGAACTCGTATGCGAGAGCTCTTTAAATGTCTGAAATAACAAAAACGCACAAATCTCGCTATCAGAAGTGTATAGTCCAAAAGATGAGCTTTTTGTAAATTACCTGTATAAGTGAACATGATGAAGTCTGAGAGAATATTGAAACAATAAAAGAACGTTTATACTTAATATCCGAAACAAACAGTTGAAATTTCAAGGGTACACAATAAGGAAAGTGAGTTTGGGAAATTTGTTACTCACAGGACAGATTGAAGGCAATGGGGAGACAAGAACACAGCCCATAACATACCTACCTAATATTAGATGGCGGAACAAGGTTTAGGAGAGATGACAAAAAGACAAGCCAAACCTACAAAGGACAGGAAATTGTGGAGAGCATTATGTGTGGGTGTGTTAGACAGCAAATTATCTTCTCGGTATATCAGATTAAATAAATTACAAACATCATTAGGTCTGTCTCATTTTTAGCATAATCCTTTCATATTCCCGAATATGTTTCCGTGTATTACAATCAGATGACGCGAGAAATACACAGTGAGAGTGAAAATGCCTTTTATTTCCCAAGAACTTTCCTGAGATCATCATCTGTTACAGTTTATTTCTTTTCGCATTTGAGTGTAAATACACGGAAAATATACAGAAATATGAAAGGGTTATCCTAAAAATAATGTTTGTAATTCATTTAATCAGACACACGCACAAAATATATATATATATATATATATATATATATATATAGAGAGAGAGAGAGAGAGGGGGGAGAGAGATAGGGAGAGAGAGACATGTTATTATTGAGGTATGTGTTGTTGAAGATGTTCAGTTCGAAATTCCAACCACCTGAAGAAGGCCGGAGCGTACTACGGCCGAAACGTTGTGATAAATATGGCGACAAAGATGAGGGCAATAGTCCGAATAATGTAAATAATGAGTAAATATTTATTCGCTTCTTTGTGTATGCACGGTAACGCACGTATATACACGCTTGATTTTTCCTCATTATATATATATATATATATATATATATATATATATATATATATATATATATATAAAAATAAATATAGTCTTAAGATGTGCTATATTTATGTGATAAATTGCTCAATATCAGAGATAGAGCGTGTGTAAATATAAAAGTGAACATAGAAGTCAACGCTTAGAGGCGACAGTCTGTTTCATGCTATATGCAATCGTCAGGCCTTAAACAGACTTTTGCCTCTAAGAGTTGATTTCTATCTTAACTTATATATATATATATATATATATATATATATATATTTATGTGTGTGTGTTTGTGTGGGGATGTCTTTGTGTATGTTTCTCCCTCTCTCTCTCCCCTCCCCTCTCTCCTCCTCTCTCTCTCCCTCTCTCCCCTCTCTCTCTCTCTTTCTCTCTCTCTCTCATTGTTTGTCTGTGTGGGCGCACATAAAGAATTTGTTTACAAGAGACAGTTCCAATTGTCTCAATATTGTAAAAGAAATTCCATCCGGAATATTAATCACTAAAATAACTCATTTACGTTTAATATGTCCTTGTCTGGTAATTTTGTATAGTTTCAATGAAGCGTTAAAATTGACTTTCCGATGCATGAAAAGAACTTGTAAAATAGTACCAATCATAAATGTTTCAATTCAACGCCGAAAATTACAAAACGATACCAAGCTGCTGGTTTTCGAGAATAACCCATTCTTTTAACTTTCAAGAAATTATTTCTACAGATGTGTAAGACAATATATATATATATATATATATATATATATATATATATATATATATAGACACAGAGAGAGAGAGAGAGAGAGAGCATTACATACATATGCAGTTCGCCTGAATACATTCTAGAAATCACACAAACCACAATAATTCGAAACCTCTTTGAAATTTTTTTGTCAAATTTAAACTGTTAATCAGGAAGACAAAACACAGATTCAATTAAATTTTTATGAAGTTTCAACATGCTTTATGAAAGTTGTTGGTTTTAATATAAAAACTGCAATCTGAAGAGAAACAGAGAGAGAGATACGAACATTATGAAAAAACAGATTGAAACTGAGATAAATGGATTAATATAGATAGATAGACATAAAATCACACACACGCACACACACACACACACACACACACATATATATATATATATATATAGAGAGAGAGAGAGATATGAAATCACACATAGATAAATAGATAGATACATATGAAATCACATAGATAGATAGATATAAAATCACATAGACATGAAATCACACACAGACATATATATATATATATATATATATATATATATATATATATATAGAGAGAGAGAGAGAGAGAGAGATAGGTAGATATGAAATCACATAGATATATGGATAGATAGATATGAAATCACACACGCACACACATATAGAGATAGATAGATCGATAGATATGAATTCACACAGACAAAACACACTCTCTCACACACACACACACACACACACATATATATATATATATATATATATATATATATATATATATATAGATAGATAGATAGATAGATAGATATTAATATACCTAAAGAGCTAAATAGCTAGCTAGCTAGAGAAATCTGAAATGACAGATAGATATATATAAAATGATATAGCTAGCTAACTAAATAGATAGTTAGATGATAATATACCGAAATACATAGATAGATAGATAGATATGAAATCACATAGAGATAGATAGAGAGATAGATAGATAGATTATAGATAGATAGATTGATAGATAGATAGATAGATAAATAGATATGAAGTCACACAGAGATAGATAGATAGATAGATAGATAGATAGATAGATAGATAGATAGATAGATATCAATATACCGAAAGTCTGTTCTTGCATGTTATAAGTCTCGGAAAAATTCTTGGGAAGATAGGCTAAAATATAATTGATGACAAAAAAATAGTAAGAAAGTGTTTTCTTTTCTTTTTTTTAACCTTTTACGTTTAGATTTCTGTCAAAGACCGGCAGCGCAAAAGGCAATGAGGAATTCCATAGGAAGATCAAAAGCACTTTCTTTCGCATGTAACATAAGCCACAATTGTTTTGATAAAATATGCTTTGTCCCCGAGTCAGCCAAAAGAATAACGTGTCCCGCAATTTTTAAAGACCGAAGAATGACATACATAACGGTTTCTCATTTAAGCAACTCAACTCGAAATACTTCAATTATTGTCGTCTGCCTTCAAATTGTTTGATCAATCTTCGCTTTTGTCTGTCTTTGCCGTGACACACCCGATTACGTTTTTTTTCTAATTATCACGAAGTTTGAGTGCCTCTAGCTTATAGCGAGATTGAACAGGGTATGCAGATAGTGTACTGAATCTGTTTTTATAATAAACAAATACTATATATATATATATATATATATATATATATATATATATATATATATATATATATATATATAGCTCTTGAAAATATATTTTGAATTGAGCACTGTTGAACGACAAGCTAATTATGAAAACAACGTTCAACTGCGTAAATGCGAAGCTCTTCAGTAAAATGAATAGAGCACTATGGCTGCTTCGCGTTTGTTTACATTTGTAAAAAAACAATACGTTAGATTTGCTATTTCGTTCTGTCGAGTGAAGATGGCTCAGTGGTAGAAGCTCTGACTGACACCAAATCGGTTGTGTTTCGATCCGGGCTTGAGAAATTCGTCTGTCTAGTCACACTGAGGAGCTGCGAAACAGTACTGTCTGAGAATTATATATATATATATATTCGAAAATTATAACGTAAATCATACTTATTATAAAACCCAGGTTGTGTGTGTGTGTCTGTACGTTTATATATTGGATCGGATTTCCTACATTTTTCAACCGATTTCAACAAAACTTCACAGGACTACGTAAAATTACCTTATGGTGGTTCTGACAGTGCCAAAAATTGGAAAAACACAATTGTTTTTGCACGTAATCAATTTGAAAACACGATTAAGAGGCATCGCTTTCGCGGAATGAAAGGGGGACAACTCATATCGAGTTATACTTATTATAAAAACCCAGGTTGTTTGTGAGTGTGTGTCTGTGTTCGTTTCTATATGGGATCAGGTTTCCTACATTTTTCAACTGATTTCAACAAAATTTCACTTTTTTTGGCAGTTAGTGTTTCTTATTGTCTTGCACACATTTTTCTTTATTTTTACATTCAGAATGCTTAAAAAATTCCTTTTACAAGACAATTGTTTATAATAAAATTCTATTCAATCGGTAGACTCATAACGATTGAAAACAATGTTTTTGTTTGAGTTTGGGTTTGACCAATTCGTAAAAAAAAAAAAAAAAAACTAATTAAGACATGCGTGTCTGTCAACCTTAAACAATAATCTTTGTCAATTTTATTTTTCAGTTTTTATTATGGTCGATACTTGATCTATCTCTTACTGTACACATCCTCGGGCAACGCCGGGCTCTACTGCTAGTATATTATAAAATCACTAAAACAATAACCATTTTGTTTCAAAACTTCTGGTGTCTTTTCATGTGATGGTGTTGAATTTAACACCATTACTTGATAAGACACCAGAAGTGAGATATAACGACTGCTTCTCCTGGCAAGAGAGTCGCAGATTCGAATTCTGCCGGAGAACGCATATGTTTCTGTAAGAAATTTTCTCGAATATTCATATATATATATATATATATATATATATATATATATATATATATATATATATATCCCACTGTATATATATATATGTGTGTGTATGTGTTTTCATTTATATATCATATATATATATATATATATATATATATATATATATATATATATATATATATATATATATATATATCTCTGTCTGTTCATGTCTTTCTCAGTCTGTTCATATCTATCTATTTATCTAAATCTCTCTATATATATATGTGTGTGTGTCTGTCTGTCTGTTCACATCTATCTCTCTATCTATCTTCGATAGTCTCGCCACAGTGTTTGATCTAAATTGTAACGAATGAACCGTAAGTTCTATGGTAAAAGCTTCTTCTCCCGCTCGTTCTGCTTGTTTAACCCTCTTCCGGCTACCAACATTTCAGTCAAGTTTAATCTTAAAAAAATTAAATTCAATGTCAATTGTTCTTTTCTGCATCTTAATTTTTTTTTTCCTATTATTGTTCTTGGGCCTTGATAATATTTTTTTATTCTTCTATTCTTTCACACTCATTAACTCCCTAAGTCTCAGTGGTTTTATTCCCTTGCTTCGGGTTGAAATTATCCCAGCGATTCAGATAGAATTCACAGTATTTCAATAAAGTTTGAAAAAAAAAGAAGCTCTACAATGTTATGAAATTTCACGAATATATTACTGGAACAGCTACTGAATGAAGTGGTTAACATTGTCTCATCTCCACTAGAGAGTGAATGTCTCTACCAGGATGAAAACCAAATGCATCCTGTTGTGTATATATGAAGAAGAATCAGGGGGTGTCCTTACTCACAATCGAGTCGTAGTCACCACCGTATACGAAAACAGGTATAAATGTAGCGCTAATTACATGAAGTATAAAGCAAAATGAATAAACAAATTGAACTTAACAGGTCTTTTTTCACAGGGACTTTCCTTGATTATCTCACATAACTTAAACCCTGATGAGATTTTGCTCAATATCATCGCCTGTCGTTACTTGTCAGTCGAAAAAAAAGACGCCGTCAGTATGAAGTTATGATCTGTTACCTTTTGTTTTTTCTTGTTAGGTTTTATCAAACATATGCATCAAATTTCGTCATGGCCGCATTGCACTTCATTTTATGCTTGGCCGTGAACGCGCTAATCAATGTTGCTCAGCAATTAAGACATTTATTAAAAACGACTGCTGGTAAATCATGCATAGCATTCAAATTAGCGTATCTTTTATAGTATTTATTAATAATTAAAGCAGTTTTACACACACACACACACACACACACACACACACACACACCCATATATATATATATATATATATATATATATATATATATATATATATATATATATATTTATTTATTTATTTAAGTAACGAAAATCTTGGTAATCCGTATAGATAATCCCAAGGTGGATGAAATCAGGAGAGCTCAATGTTAAATGAAAAAGAATAATTTAATTATAAAAAAAACAAAAAAAAAAACAGACTACTTTAAGTTTCTATTGTTATAATTTAATTCACCAGAGATTTTATTTTTCTCTGGATCTTCAGATTTCACTTTCAAGGGTGAAAAAATGAATTTAAATTTTACACTTTTGAATTCTGGCAGCAAAATTGTCCAAATTGTGTAACAGCAGAATTTTCCATTCAACAAAATTTTTAATATCTAAAAAAGGACTAAAGTAATTGAATTTATTTTCTTCTTTTTTTTAATGTTTTCAGATAAGACGTTTAGCCATCTTGATACCATTTGTTGTAAGAATCACTAAAAATTCCTGAAAATAACGATTGACATTAGAAATGTTTTCCTGTCAGTGTTGATGAGAAAACAAGAAACTGGAAGAGATATCCACAAACGAGAGGAAACATTTAGCATCGAACTTACGGTTATATTTAGCCATTTCAACTGCAAAATGATGAGACCTAACTACCAGTCTAGTCCTGCGCTTAAATTATTTAAGTCGATGGAACAAATACTGAAAAGCTCACCGGAGCCTACATTATTTTATTTCGTCTTATTTATGTTGACTTGAATTAATTTACATTCGTATTAATATCGTTATATTACTTGTGATTATATCAAGATTTCGGTCGTTGTAGAATCCATTTTTCTTCAGATATCAGTCAATCAGTGTAACCATAATTAAATTTCGAAATGAAATTTTTATTTAATCTACGGGTTTAGGTTTATCTGGCCCCGCTGCCCATAGTCTCGTGACAATGGTCAAATGCTGTGTTTACCAACGTGGTCGCTAGCGCTAATCTTGTGGGCTCTGTTATGTTGAAATGGGGCACTGTTTTTTTTTTTTATTATTTCATTTGGTGGCGGCGGTAAACATACTCAATGGAGTGAAAGGCATTTATCCATTTAACATTGACGACAAAAGGACATTTCTGAAAGTTATCTAAATCTGTGAGATGGTATAAAAAATTTCTTCATTGCTTTTCCAACTTTCTGGATGTAGTTTCAGAGCATTTATACAGCTACTTTCAAAACAAAGAAACTGCTTAAAAATAACAAACTGAGAAGATCCACATTTACTTCTAAGCGGCATAGAACGTAGAGTACCAAAGTCAACCATCGCATTGAAAACATTGAGATAAGCTATCAAATAAAAGTTTCTTTCTCTCTATATTTCTGCGATGAGGTATTATGTAAACTATTTACATTCCTCGAACTGTCATCCTCATCTTTGTTGCTATATCAAAGACCCATGGCACAGTGGATAAAGGCGTTAGTTGGATCCAGTGACAGGACCCAAAGAGTGTGAGTTCAATACCTGCTTAAGGCGATGGAGAACTTGGAGAGGGGAATTAACAGGAGATAACTGATAAATGACATCCATTAGACATGGCACGTGGAACTAGAACCGCCTACACCAGCGAGCGAAATAAAGGGTTCAGTTCGACATTCCAACCATCTGACGAAGGCCGGAGCGCACAACGGCCGAAACGTTGGGATAAATATGGCATCAAAGATGAGGATGATAGTCCAAGCAACGTAATTTTTTTTTTTTTGTAGCATTTTAATCATTGGCATTTATAATAGAAATGACAATAATTTAAATAAAATAAATTATTTTTGCACTAATACTCAAGAGTTATTTTGCCATGAAAGATGAATTCGGTATAACTTTAGAAATTTAATTGGACTGGGAAAGTTGACAAAATGATTGTTGCCCAAAGCGGGAACTGGATGAAATTAAAATGGGAAAA